AACACCAGTGGTTCCCAGACATTTGATGGGGAAATGCATGTGAAGTGCTCTGCGCGATGCTGAGCTGTACGTGCTTAATGATCGCTGGTTGTTGCCGTTGTTCGCATGACATTTCCGCATCATTGCTGGGAAGTCCACGGGGAGCAGGCTTGGGGTGCCTTGCCTCCCCGGTGCCTCGTGTTCCAGGGCCAGCCGTAGTCTGTCCCGTGAAGGGGACGCCGCGTTCCCCATAAGCCTAGAAGGCTCACACTCCCGCGCTTCTGATAAATAATTCATCGTCTTCCCATTGCTTCCTGGGCTCGTTGGAAGTAAATGTCAGAGACTGAGTGTCAGGCCCAACTGTGTGGAGAGTTTCAGGATTTTCCTAAAATCTTGAGTTGGAGTGACATGATTAAGCCACGGAGTGAGGGTGCTGGCTTTCTCCTTAGTCTTCAGCACAATGAAATGTGGATGCCCCAAATTCTGCCCTGGCTTTCTTGCTGTGTGAGAAACTCTAAATGAAGAAATCAAGGGAAAAGTGCAGTAATGAACAAGAACGGGTGTGCATTGACGAATCACATGATGTGATGGTGGCCTGGCTGGGAGGCTGATAATTCCTTCAGGGAGACTGTCCACGTCAGAATATTAATGAGCAGGGCCGTAGTAATAAGCAGCTGTCACTTATCCATCACCTTCTAAGTACTACGCTCAACATCTTAATGGGTTGCTTTTATTTATAAGTGACTATAAAACAGACAGTCTTGTGTTTATTCTTCATATTGGAAATGGAAGCTCCGGGGATTGAACTCAAGGCGGCCTGTCTCCCAGCTGGTGTTCTCTGCACCACACACACTGGTGCCTTGAACATGCTGAGCACCCTCCCGAGGGGTACGTGACTCAGTGGAAAGATCTGGGCCGGGGAGAAGGAAACCTGGATCCTGGCTCTGAGCTCAGCAGCAGGCTCTGGAAAATGTGCTGAGTGCCTCGAACCTTTGAGGCCCTCATTTCTTTTCCTGTTGAGGAAATTACATTTGCTACATCCATCTCTTAAGGTTTTTATGAGGATGAAATGAGATAATAACTGGGAAAGTGCCTCGCACACTTGAGTGATGTACAAATAAAGGGCTCACGTTATTAGATTTTTAGTAGCGTGGAGCTGTTTTTTTTCATGGTGCCCATGTTGTCTTCTGATTGAATTTAAAAACCCTTGGCAGAGGCTTCCTGTCCCTTGCTCGTTTTGGCCTTGGATCTTCTGACTGTGAGGAAGCTGTCCCCCCAACTACAGCTTTGGGACAGGGTTGAAATGATGCATGCTGGCTCGCCCCTTTCTTCTTTGGGAAACTGTGGACACAGGAAATGGCCTCCTGTCATCAAACAACTGATAGACGTGTATTTACTTATTCGGTGGCTGTGACATCTCCAGCTCTGTCTGCGATCCTGTGGGCCCTGGGGATTCAACCTTGGGATGTGTGACAGAGGTGGGGAGAAAGGGACACATGCAGTCGGAGGCTGTGTCAGTGACTTACATGCTACGTGTGTCTCATACTGTCAGCGTGAGACCAGCTGGGGCGGCCTCGTGGAGGAGGCTCTGAGGGTTTGAATTGGGGCCTGGGGTGCAGGAGGTGGGCACAGGCAGGGGGCGAAGTGCGGGTATAAGAAAAGAGACTGGGCTTACCTGTGCAGATTTCGTGAGGTCTAGAACATTGCCGAGCAGCAGGGAGAGAGCACAGCTCTGTGTGTGTGTGTGTGTGTGTGTGTGTGTGTGTGTGTGTGTGTGTGTGTTGAGCCTTGTGAGAAAGGACCTAGAAAGCCAGGTCTGAGTGTTGTAAACAATGGAAAGTTCCAGAGCAAGGGCACAGCAGTGAGACAAGGGGTGGAGGCGGAGGAGGGCGGGAGCAGGAGGCTGGAGGCCGTGTGAAGGGTTCTAGGTGACAGGGAATGGAGAGGGGGTTCCGTGGACAGATGTCTTTGGGACAGATCACAGAGACACCGGACAGAGGGATCCACGGAGGAGGAAGGGGACGGAAAGGAAGCCCATGCCGAGGTCTGGACCGCGGCGTTCTAGGACCTCGCTTGCCCGGGGCCCGGGTTCTCAGCACTTCAGCGGGGCGTCCGTGGTTGCCCCGGTTCCCAGTGCTCTTCAGTTATTCCAAATTCACTTATGCATATTTCATTTTTTGCTAACTAATTGGTCTTGAGCATCTGCATTATGGATGTGGCAAGATGTAAGATGAGTTTTGTCACCGTCGTGTTAGAGGTTTTCCAAGGCTCTCAGGGCTGATTTTGTTTCTCTCCCTTGACAGCCAGATTATGCACCACTCACCAGTTTAATTCACTGGGATTTATCAGTGCCTGCCGGCCCTGCGGGATACCAGGTTAGGTGTTGGGGGGGCAACGGGCAGTCAGGACCAGGGCCATGAGTCCCCTGTGCACAGACCACGGCAGGCAGAGCCCCGCACCCCGTGGCACTGTGGCACGTGTTCCGGCTTGTCTCCGAGGAGGGAAGGTGGGGTGCCCTGCCGCTGTGAGCGTGGTGAACCCCGGGTGAGGGGCACGGTTGCCCACAAGACTGCTGGCCCCAGCCGTAAGTTTGGGGGTCCCCGGGACCAGCTAGCTACGAATCCGGGGGACCCCAAGGGCTCTCTCAGCTTCCGTGGTTTGTTGGAATGACTCACAGAACTCAGGAAAGCAGCATACCACGATTACCATTTTCTATAAAATGTGTATGAGTCAGAACCAGCCAAAGGGAGAGATGCAGGGGCCGAGTCTGGGGTTGGAGGGTTTGAGGTGTGGACGTTTTGGTCACCCTCCTCCCCCTGTGGAGTCCTGGATGCCTTGCCTTCTTCCGGCTGTCTTACATGACAGGACCCAAGAACTTCCAGCCAGGGATGCTCACCCCAGCGTTCGGTGTCCAAAGGTTTTATGGGGGGCTTGGTGAACCACTGCCTACGTGGCTGGCCGTTGGTCCCATGCTCGTCCTGTAGGTTCAGATGAAGACGTTTGTTCTCCGGTTCCTCCAGAGGTCAGGGCCGGTCTGACTTGTCACAGGGCCCGTCATAAATCACGTTGTTAGACCAGGCATACAGGCACCCCTGTCGGGCAGGACCTCCTGAGGGCCTGGAGGTCCCCCCCAGTAGCCAGGGGCAGAGGCCAGACATCTTGTCTACATGGCTGCGTCCTCATAGGGCATTTCAGAGAGGAGCATCAGGCCGTCTGCATGGCAGGGTTCAGGGTCCCTCTTCGGTGTTGCGCCCGGGCCACAGGCGTCCATAACTGTCACGAGACACGCTTCTGCAGCTCAGCCGACGTGACACGTGGTGCGTGTTTCATAGCCAGTCCTTCTCTGCTGTTCCTTGCCGCTTCAGTAACTTGCACAAGATCATGCCGTGGTGACGGAAAACAAGGAGAACTGTTCTCATGACCATGAGGTAAACAGTTCTGTCCTTACTGTGTACATTCCTTCCCTCGCCGCCCCCTCCGGCCTCCCATACACGTCGGCTGGGCCTTGTGTCTACACAGCTGTTCTGCTCGGTAAAACCTGGTGTGGGCCACAGGATCGAAGCGTCCTGTGCCCTCGTTCGTGCCACCTGGTCTCTGCCTTTGCCTGCCTGTTGTAAAGTGCTCCCTCCCCGGCCCCCCGTCTCCAACACGCCCCGGACAGAGCGGGAAGGCAGGGATTGTATGGCTCACTGTGGCCCTGGCCGACGAGGGCTCCGCTGTGGCTCTCGGTTGGCGCCGACCCAGCCCAGCCCTGCAGCTCCACAGAAGCCCTGCCCCTGCCAGGGCTCCCCCCGCAGCTCTTCCCCCGTTCCAGTGCTCCGTCTCCTCGAGTTCTTGGGGACCCCGCGTCGGAGCAGCCTCCTCTGTCCAGCGCCCATGTTGTCAAGCCGCTCGCTGGTTCCTGGCAGATTCTGCCCCAGAACCGTCCTGCCCTCCTCTCCCCTGTGGTCTCCCTGCCTGACTTGGGAGCACCGCAGCCCATTTCACGGGTCCTCATGGGGGTGGCCGAGGGCGGGTGGGTGACACTTTCCTGTGCAGGGCGGTAGCCTTGGAGGGAGCAGGAGGGGCCCCGAAGACCTCACTGCTTGGTACGTGACCATTTTCCCAGGGTGGGTGCTGGAGCCTAGGACCCCTCCCCTCCTCCGCTGCTCAGAGTCAGAGAGGATGGCACCCTGCAGGCGCCTGGCCCTGGGGCGCCGGCCACACTGTGCTGGCTTCCTGCTTGGCGTCTCTCAGGCTACCTGTCACGTGACATCACCTGAGCCCACGCCCCTCCACCTTCACACGAGCAACAGCAGGATGCTCCCCGACCCCGCTCGCCAGTCTCACTTCCTACCCGCATTCTGGAGGTGACTGCCTTGAAGACGAGTGCTAATTAACCAGAGTTACAAGTTGACAAATGATTTGAAGCTTGCTCCAGAGAGGCTCTGAGCATGCCATCCAACTCGCTAGGTCGCCTGGAAACTTGAAGCACGTTGCTCTTGTCTTTAGTCCTGTAATTGGTAGATTGAGATTGTAATTCTTTTTTCCCTGTTTTATCGGAACAATTTGGCTGTAATAATTATGACGCCTTGAAATAATCTGAATAGTTGTGCAGCTCATTATGAGCATGAAAGGCTAAGCGGCCTTTGAGAATCCTTTGCAAAGAAGTCCTTAAGCACTTTTCCGAGAACTGGGTATAAATGGACCTGCTGCTTGCTTCACTAGGAGTCTGATTTGTGAACCGGGCGGCTGCCGGTCACAGTTCAGAATCGTCCCCACTTTACGGAGGAAGCCTGTGCCAAGGTTTGATCGCATAGTATTTTTAAAGGAGAGTATTAGGAAACTGGTTGTACGTTGGCACGTGGATGCAAAACTGTGAGCACTAAAGGTACGTCTGCAGCTGTTAATTTCTGGAACGGCTTCAGACTCTGTTTTTCATAAAACCCGAAACTGAACACATTTCCACATTTGGAAGTTGAGTGCGTGCCGTGCACTGTCGCCTCCTGTGACTCCGTTGTGCCCTCTTGTTTCCTTGGTAGAGTTTTCAGTCATGAAGAGGAAGAGAGGCAGGCCGAAGGGGTCCACGAAGAAGCCCAGCGGCGAGGAGGAGCTGGCAGAGAGCGTCGTCAGTCCGCAGGAGGGCAGTCCGCCGGCCCCAGAGGAGGGGAGCAGCCTGGCTCCGGGCAGCTTGGAGTGCGGCCAGTGCCGTCGAAAGTTCTCTAACCCGCGCCAGCTGAGGAAGCATGTCTGCATCATCGTGCTGAACTGGGGTGAGGAGGACGGAGACGCAGGTACGTTGCCCAAGGGCCGGACGCGCCAGTTTCTCGCGAAGACGTGTAACTGCGGACATCCGTTTGCCCTGGGTCAGTTACTGCATGGAGATCGAGCGCTTTTATATGCGGCCTACCTATCTGGAAAAGTCTCTGTTTGGGAACTGATGACTGTTACTGTCGGTGACGTGTCCGGTAGGCGGTGCCCATGGAGTGCGAGTCACGGGGGCACGTCCGCGGGAGCTCTGGGCTCTGCAGAGAGGGTAAAACACAGCGTCCCCTCGGTGAGCTTGCGTCCTGGGTAGGACAGCAGGGTTGTGCATCACGAGATGTTAACAGGGAACGTACCCTTGGAGGGGAGGCGGCCTTCTGACGGGGGGTCAGGGAGCCTGGAGTCATGGTGTGTGTGGCATTGGCATTAATGGAGGGAGGTGTGGGCAGAAGTGCAGACGTTAGGGTGCTCGGGGCCCCTGTGAGGCACCTGCTGAGCCAGCAGTGGCTGGGGGGCTAGGTTGTGGCAGGCATTCTGGAAGAAAGGAAAGAACACTGGTGCTTCCTCCACTGATGTTCCTGGCTAAGCTTCATCTGAAGTAACTTGCTTTTTAAAAAATAGTTGTTTAATTTTGAGAGCAAGGGGGGGACGTGGAGGAGGGGCAGCGAGAGAGGGAGATAGAGTTCCGAAGCCCGATGTGGGGCTCCAACTCGCGCCGTGAGACCGTGACCTGAGCTGAAGTTGGGCGCTTCGCTGACTTTGCGCCTGAAGTAACTTCTAAAAGAGGCTGAAGGAGGTTCAGTGAAGGTGGGCACGGAGTGCTGTCTCTGCGGTGGGGCAGGTCTCGGGGGTGACCCTGTGGGAGGAATGAACTAGCACGACTGCACTGGAGAGGGGAGGGCCTCTGCTGTGGGCCCTGCTCTTGTCTGGTTCTTGTACCGCTTGTTAAGTCTTCAGACTTTGCCCAAGACTTTGAGTTCTTACTGTGTTTTGTACTGTGCTAAGCTTGTTACATGGGAGTAACCAGTTCTGGTCAAAACATAGGCTTTGGGGGGCGCCTGGGTGGCGCAGTCGGTTAAGCGTCCGACTTCAGCCAGGTCACGATCTCGCGGTCCGGGAGTTCGAGCCCCGCGTCAGGCTCTGGGCTGATGGCTCGGAGCCTGGAGCCTGTTTCCGATTCTGTGTCTCCCTCTCTGCCCCTCCCCCGTTCATGCTCTGTCTCTCTCTGTCCCAAAAATAAACAAACGTTGAAAAAAAAAAAAAATTAAAAAAAACAAAACAAAACAAAACATAGGCTTTGGAATATGGCAGCCAGGTTTGAATCCCAGCCTCTCCAGGCCTTACTAGCTTCCTTCTGCCTCAGTTTCCGTACCTGTAAAATGGGAATAAAACACAGCACCATCTCATATGGTTGCTTTGAGGATTGAATAAGGCAGGACTTTTAAAGTGCTCAGAACAGTACCTGCATTTGAAAAGCACTCAGCAAACATTAGCTATAACTTATTCGTAGCAGTATGGGAACAGTACTGTTGTCTTCCTTCCTGTTGTGTATGTAAGGATAGCTAGACTGGGCAATCAGGTGTTTGTCCAGGGTTCTTTAGTTAACAAGGGAGCCTAGCCTCTGAACCTCAGTCCTCAAGTCCCTTTACGGTAAACACCTCCCAACCGGGAAGCAAGACCCTATAGCAGATCGGGGGCGTAACTGAGTAACTGAGTAACTGATATTTACCAGACATCTAGGTTGGTGGCCAAGGCTCATTGCCAACATCTGCGCAAACTGTAGAAAATATAAAACATTCTTTCCTTTGAAGAACGGCTCTCGGGGTGACTTTCTAGGCTGCATGGGCTAATGCAAATAATGGACTAGCGCTCAAACAGGATAGGCCACTGGGAAGACACCTGTCCCGAAGCGGAGGGCACGTCATTGCTGTGGGAGGCACGTAGGCCGGGAGTGCTGTGGTTTCAGAGCCATTGGCCTCCTGTTTCAGAGCCTGATGCCCTTTTGGCAAATAAAGATACTTCTAGAACTGAGATGGTTGAGGGAGGAAGGATTAGAATGCACCTCCCTGCCCATAAAGTGCTGATTTCTGGTGCATTTGTCAACCACTGGCCCTGGGTTATGGGTTGTCCCCCCCGGCCCCCACCCCCTGCACACCCCCACTCTCTTTTTCTCACACAAATAGTTAATGGTGGTTGCATGTTGTTTATTTGTTCATTAAGTTTTTTACTTTATTTATGTATTTATGTATTTATTTATTTATTTATTTATTTATTTATTTATTTTAACGTTTATTTATTTTTGAGACAGAGAGAGACAGAGCATGAACAGGGGAGGGACAGAGAGAGAGGGAGACACAGAATCGGAAGCAGGCTCCAGGCTCTGGGCCATCAGCCCAGAGCCCAACGCGGGGCTCGAACTCACGGACCGTGAGATCGTGACCTGAGCTGAAGTCGAACGCTTAACCGACTGAGCCACCCAGGCGCCCCTAAGTTTTTTACTTTAATCCCTGTATAGTGTTCCTAGTTTCAGGCACACAATGTAGTGATTCAGCACATCCACACGTCACCCGGTGCTCATCACAAGTGCAGCCCTCAATCGCATCCCCCCAGCCGCCTCCCCTCGGGTAGCCATCGGTGTGTTCTCTGTAGTTAAGAGTCTGTTTCTTGGTTTGTTTCTCTCTTTTTTCCCTTTGCTTGTTTTGTTTCTTAAATTTCACCTAAGAGTGAAATCAGATGGTATTTGTCTCTCTCTGACTTATTTCACTTAGTGTTATACCCTCTAGCTCCATCCATGTCGTTGCAAATGGCAAGATTTCATTCTCTTTATGGTTGACTGATATTCCATTGCACATACACGTATGTGTCCATGCATGCACACACACACACACACACACACACACCACACCAGCTCTTGATCCAGTCACCAGTTGATGGACGCTTGGGCTGCTTCCGTAGTTTGACTATTGTGGAAATGCTGCTATATAAACATAGGGGGGCATGTGTCCCTTTGAATTAGTGTTTTTGTATCGTTTGGGTAAATACCCAGCAGTGTGATTCCTGCATCACAGGGTAGTTCTGTCTGTAGCTTTTTGAGGACCCTCCATACTGTTTTCCAGAGGGGCCGCACCAGTTTGCGTTCCCCGTGGCCCTTGCCTCTTAATGAGTGGGGCCGGCTGTAGCGTTAAGAGAGCCCTGTGTGTACCTGCCCAAGTCCCGAGAATTTGAATCTTTGGGTTCATTCAGTGCTGTCTTCTTGAGGACCTGTTTTGTTTTTGTGCCTTCACATGATTTATCCCGCCAGCCTCCTCCTGAGAGACCCCTGGGCTTTCTGTGCGATTACGGCTGGAACTCAGGGTTCTCCTTGGCAAAACCTTCCTGCTGCTGCTTCCTTCAGATGTCAGACCTGGATCTAACTTGGATGCAGCCTGAGGAGTTCAGTCGGGTCTGTGGATTGTCTGCATTGCCCTCAGGGTTTTCTTCCTAAAACAAAGTTTTTCAGTGTCTCCCCTTCAGAGTCAAGTGCCAAGTCGTCTCCTGGGCATTGAAGGCCCTTAAGATCTTTCCAAAAAGATCTTTCCAAAAAGATCTTTCCAAAAAGATCTTTCCAAAAAGATCTTTCCATGGAGCTCTACAGCATTGTTTTTCTGTGTCGTATTGTTTTCAGCTGAGCAAATTCAGGGTCGTTGCCAGTCTTTTGCTGTTGTAAATATTGCTTTCATAAATACTTCTGTGTGCAGGCGTATTTGTATGTACGTGCATGTATATGTGAGTGGGCACACGTGTATTTGCGGACTTACGTTGTTACTTTCATAGGATAAATTCCTACAAGTGTAATTGCTGGGTCAGGATGTATATTACATGTTGCCGAAATCCCCCTCCCCACCAAAAGCTCACACCAATTCAGGTTCCAGAAGTGTCTCACAGTACCTATCTTGTTTTTCTTTTTAAATACCTGAAATGATGCAGAAAGTACTAAGAGGAAAGTAACAATAATCCAGAATTTCACTGCCTAGGTGTATTGACTACTATACCGTGTAAGAAAGAGAAGGAAGATCCTTCTCCGTTCTGTGTACACATGTTTTTTAGAAATGGGGTCATGTATCATGTTCTGTGATTTCTTTTTTTTTTTTTTTTTTAATTTTTTTTTCAACGTTTATTTATTTTTGGGACAGAGAGAGACAGAGCATGAACGGGGGAGGGGCAGAGAGAGAGGGAGACACAGAATCGGAAACAGGCTCCAGGCTCTGAGCCATCAGCCCAGAGCCCGACGCGGGGCTCGAACTCACGGATTGCGAGATCGTGACCTGGCTGAAGTCGGACGCTTAACCGACTGCGCCACCCAGGCGCCCCTGTGATTTCTTTTTTTACTCACCAATATAGCCGATAACATTTTCCATGTTAATATTTTTTTGTTTAACAAGCTGTTTCGTAGCACTTTCTGGATACTCCGTGTTTACTGCTGCTAGCTCCCGTAATTCTCATAGCAACCTGAAGAAGTAGGCATTATTGTTACTCTCATTAGGCACAGAGAGGTTCAGGAGTTTGCTTAGATCACACAGCCTGTATGTGGTGGGTCTGGGTTCTGAACCCACCGCGGTGTGGCAGCTGTGCTATGCTTCCTGACCAAACTACTCAGTAAATGCAGATTTTTGTCATTTTTAAAGGACACCCAGCATTTCATCGTATGTGTGGGCCATATATTTTCCTTCATCGGTTTCCAGTTGGTTGACATCCAAGATTGCTTTTCATTTTTCTCCCTGATTACAAAAAAGAAAACCACTACTCAGGGCGTCTGAGTCAGTGAAGTGTCCAACTCTTTTTTTTTTTTTTTTTTTAATGTTTGTTTATTTATTCTGAGAGTGAGTGCTCATGGGGAAGGGGCAGAGAGAGAGGGAGAGAGAGAATCCCAAGCAGGCTCCATGCTGTTAGCTCACAGCTCGACACAGGGCTCGAGCTTAAGACCTGAGATCAAGACCTGAGCCAAAATCAGGAGGTGGACGCTTAGCTGACGGAGCCACCCAGGTGCCCC